CCACCAGGAATTTTGGGAGGTTCTCTTGCTGTGTGCTCAATTCCCTAATAAAAATCATATGAGCAGTCAGGAGAGAGGTCAATTGCTGAAATTCTTTTCCAGAAAACAACAGATGATTCCTAGTCTTTGTGTTTTAGATTAAAATACTGAAGTAAAAGTCTGTTCATTTTTCTCCAGTATGAGTCATTTTTAGATAAAGCTATATTAACAGATCTGTTCAGCTAAGTGTATTATCTGTAGAAAATTGTGGGGCTGTAGTTTCAAAATCAAATTACTTGTAACTGTTTTTATGTAAATAGATGCTTCATATTTCTGCAGAAAATTAATTTGCCTTTTGACTTTAGTATGTTTCTGTTACTGTGTATTACTCTTAATCAGTATATAGAGTAAGAGCAATTGATTTTCGCTGTTCCGCTTCTCTCAGACTGTTCCCAAGTCTCTTTATGGAGCATTAGTGAATTCCACGCAGAGTAATAATTCCATCTTTTTCTTTGAAAACATGTGGCAGGAAAGAAATTTTGAATTAAACCTATTGTTTTCTGATGCCTGATAGCATCATTGGCAAAAAGATGATGTAGGAATAAATAGGTTTTGACTTTTGTTTTTTGATCATGCTTATGTCTTCTTTAAGAAGTTAAGTTACAGTTCAGGTCTTTCACCAAACACAGGCAATAAAATGTTCACTGCCACTGCCAGTACTTGTGAGTGTCAGTGCTTTAGTGATCTTGATTTCTCTGCCATTGCCAGGTAATTTCTACGGTACCCCGAAGCCTCCAGCGGAGCCCAGCCCCTTTCAGCCTGATCCGGTGGATCAAGTTCTTTTTGACAATGAGTTTGACACTGAATCACAGAGGAAAAGAACCACATCAGTCAGCAAAATGCAAAAGATGGAGAGTTCTCTCCCTGAAGAGGAGGAGGAGGAGGAAAAGGAAGCAGTTAATGGCAGCGGAGGGATAGGTTGGTTGACAAGGGGGGAAACTCCCTGAAGCCTTGTATGAATGGGTAACAAGTATACAGAAAACGTTGATGTTTGCTTGAGCTGCTTCCTTAGTTTTGGTAAAGTTTGAAGGTGGTTTTCTATTCAGACTGGTGTTTTTACTCAATTTTGAAATTATCTTTTAAAGAGAAACAGCTGTTCTTCCAGCCAGATGTGCAATTGCATCATAAAATGCACTGCTCAGTAGAGAACATGTAGTGCTGAGTATCGGCCAGCTACATGAGGAGGAAGGAAAAACTTGTTCAAGCTTCAAGTAACAGAATCCTTCACAGAGTATAATTCATACTCTGTACATGCTATTGTTTCATTTTGATGAGATTAGTGAATTTGTATGCAGGGCATTTTAGTGAAGCGACTTGTTTAAGGGACAACACTAGCTCATCCTGTAAAATTTTCAGATTATTTTGGTTAAGGGAACTATCACACAACCTGAAACTGCCCGGAGGGGAGTTTGAAAAGAGAAGTAGAGCAGAGTGTGTTGAAACTGGACCAAGGTCCAGTCAGACATTTCAAAGATAGGCAGAATGCTCTCTCTCTTCTGCTGTCATGGTTACTCATCTCGAGGGGGAAGAACTGATGGTGGAGAGAAACTGTCACATTGCATTTACAGATGATCCTCTCTGTGAGTATTTAAGACCAGACCTGACCTCATCTTGCCAGCTTCAGGGCTGGCAACACCACAGCACAGAGTGGCTGGTGGCCAGGCTGGTGGTTAGGTGAAGGTCGTGGACATTGTTGTGTGATGGAGGATGCTGAGCATAACCTTGGGACTGAAGGGTGGAGGCTTGCTTTTAAAGTGTTCTGCAGGGATTTTTGGGAGTTTATTGTCATTGTGGCTTGCAGGAGGATGGTACTTGTTTCATCGACAAGTTTGAGTCTTCTTTATGTTTAATTCTGGTGCTTTGAGGAATATTAGTAGGATTTGGGGTTTTTTTGGGGTGGTATTACAAACACTGTTCTCTATATGGGAACAGCAACAAAGTGTAGTCAGCTTGGATTTCTGCCAGCATTCATTTTTCAGCATAGGCTCAGACACATAATACAAGGTTAATTCTGTTTGGCAGGGGAAGAGCAGAGTTCAGTGTTTTCATGTCAGCTTTTCAAAGTTCATAGCTGAAAAAAAAAAGTGGAAAAATGCACATCACATACAGGGACGTGTTTGACATCCACTCGTTGCCAGATTAGGAGGGTGGTTCTTTGTGAGAAACAAGATAAACATATGACAAATAGTAACACTTTCCCTGAACAACTGCAGAAAACAAAGAAAAACACTCAGATTCTCCTGACTGGATGAAAACTGTTCCCAGCTACAACCAGACAAGCAGCTCCATGGACTTCAGAAATTACTTGTCAAGGGATGACACCCTGGAACCACTGCCCAAGAACTGGGAGATGGCCTACACTGACACTGGCATGATCTACTTCATCGAGTGAGTAGACCGACACCACGGAGGGGTTGCTGTGCTCTTCAGAGAAGTGCCTGATGCACTGTGGTCTAGGAAGCTGCCTGCTGCTGCTCTCAAACCTCTCCCCTTCTACTCTTACCTCTTCTGTTTCTCTATGAAATTTAATGTATTCACACTGTTTTGTTCCTTACTGATAGTGGTCTGTGCTGCGTGCTTGTACAGCTGCCGTCGCTCAGGAGAGCCTTACGGTCCCATGTGCAAAGTCAGTTTGTTTGTAATACGAGTTTTGTATCTCACAAAATACAGAGCTGTGTGGGTATTGCCAGGTGAGGGCTAGCAACATATAAATCTCCACTATGTCAAATTCCTTTGAAATCCAAGAGTTTGTTTATTCTTTCTTTAGCGCTTGTGTTCCTTGTCTGAGAATGCATGATTAAAAATACAAATAGCATGTGTGCACATGTGAAACAGCCTCATTTATTAATTTCTAAAGAAAATAATAACCTTACTGAGACTTACATGTAAGAACAGGCTAAAAATGTTTTTTCCTTTCAGGTAGAAAAAGCTGATATTCCCACATAAACTCGTGGGGGCAGGGCAGATTGTGCTTACCTCTAATATTTCACATCTGTCCTGGAGAGTCTCCAGCACGCTCCTACGTCTGAGCATCATTGTTGCCTTTTTTTTTAGCATTTTATGATGTGACTGAGGCAAAAATAAAGATTATATTATCTAAAGGCTACCTCTTAGTCGTGGTAGTAAGTATTTAAAGTAAAGTATTTAAAGTTGCCTCAGTCTGAGTGAGTTCTTTTCTTCTAACGGGATGTGTTCTGCTTCACAGTCATAACACCAAGACAACTACGTGGCTTGATCCGCGGCTCTGCAAGAAAGCCAAAGCTCCTGAAGATTGTGAAGATGGAGGTGAGATGGTCAGAATTCATTTGTCACCTGTGACTGATACATGTCTTGAATTTATCATAGCTGGATAAGATCTCTTACTGCTATGGTAGAAGCTTCTTCCTGATACACGTGACTGGAGCAGGCAGGGTGGTGCTGAATGTCCCTAGTTTGGTGGCAGTAGGAGTTTATGTAAGACTGGGAAAGTCCATAGATTATTTTTGCTGGAGTAGTAGAATTTGACTGAATCATGGGTTTATCTGCATTCCTGAAATGAGAATGAGATATTTCATTCCAATAACTATCATTTGTAGGGAGAAAGCTTCATGTATTAGTGATAATCTCACTGGAAGTTGTGCAGGTGCAATATGGCAAGAAGAAAAAGTTCATAAGTTTTAGAATATAGGGTTAATGAAGAAAATACAGCCTAATACCTATTGCTAATGATACCTATTGCATGTGACACAATATAGTATTTGATTGCATAAGTAGGGGGAACAATCTGACTCCCTTCAACTCTTCATTCACACTGTCCTTCAAGACTTACAGGTCATTGCATGATTGGCCTACAGACAATTCCTGTAACCATTTCCTACAGTCATGTGGTTTAGTCAGCTAGAAAAGAGTAACAAATAGCTCTGTCTTCAGCAAATGCCTGACATATTAAAAAAGCTGAGGCAGACTCAGAATAGCCTGTCCCCTTCCTGAATTGCACAGCCTAACCACCATGTATTCACAGGGAAGACAGCTGGAGCAATGGACGCATACTGCTGCTTATTAAACATCTGTGCAGCTCACCACAGGACAAAAAGAGCACTTTAAACAGAGAGATGCAGGATACCCAAATGAACAACATTTAAATGAATAGACCCACTGGGTCTTTTGTCGAACCCTGTGGAGTGATGCTGGTATTAATAATTGGTAACATGCTGTCATGTGCTAGGAAAATTCCTGTTACCATCAAACTTAGGGCAGCTTTCAACAAGATTACATAGCAATTTTATCCTTCAGTTGTCTGGCTACCTGACTGTATCCACTAGAAGAGTAAAGCTGGAATAATTGGACCTCTGTGTTAACCGCTTATCACCTTCAGTCAGTAATGATCTGCTGCTGGGCAACATCTTGCCAGATTCTGAACTTGCCATGAAAAGTAGATGAATGCAACCAGACCTAACCATGTGCTACCTAGTTCAGAGGTGCCTCACTGCATGGTGAATGTCAGGGCAAAGTAGCCAGCCGTGGTGGGGGCTCTTCTCTTACTTCATCACATGTGGCTATTATAGTTTTGACCAAAGGTTTCTTTTGTTGACAGAAAACTGAAACATTGTCAAAATAAAGTGAAATATCTTGATGTTATTGAGAGAATAAGTAAAGGTAACATTATGCCAGGTGATCATAGACAGAAAGTACCAAAGGAATGGAGGGGCATGGTTTTACAGGGGTGGGGTGTGATACAACAAGGCATCTATAGCTCTCTTCTGTGGTGTGCTTGGGGACAGAAGTGGTGCAACCATATTCATATCATATAGCTTAAAAAGTTGACAGCTATCGAATTAATACTTTATAATTAGCTTATTTTTAAATAACTTATTTTTCTTCCCCTTTATAGGTTCTTCCTCTCTAAATAGGTTAGTTTGTACCTTGTCTTTAAGTTTATTATATGTTTAAAGTGGTGTGATTTTGTTGAATACAAGTCTCCTCATCTAGTTAAACAAAAAATGAGAGTCATAGGGATTCAGATTCCTGGAACAGGCTGATACCCTTTCATCAGAAGGACCAGCCTCAAACAAATGAAGAGAAGAGAGAAGCACCTGTACTTTGCTCATATTTTTCATGAGTCTGTAATCTATCCTCTCATCCCTTCATAAGAACTCTGATATTTGCAGATAGCTTTTCACTGTAATTAAGAATTTTGTTTTCTGATTTCAGAACTTCCTTATGGATGGGAAAAAATAGAAGACCCTCAATATGGAACATACTATGTTGAGTAAGTACTAATTATGAATTTGACATAGTGATAAATTGAGCAGAAGATAATGAAGTGCATGATACGCAGCATGCATCGGCTGTAATGCACAGTGGCTGTTAAACGTACCCAGTAGGAACAGTTCTAGGGGCAGGGAAGACACAGTGCACGCTCCTGAAGGGCTGGCACATGGGAAGATCCATGGTGTGACCTTACTGTGGTGTCGTTCTTTTGGGGAGGAAGAGCAAGTGGCAACCAAAGTAATATATTAATGGGAACAAGCTGATGTAGTTTTTTCTTAGCTTTAGCAAAAATGAGGTCACTTGATTTAAGAGTGGCACCTGATAACTGTAAAAGACCAAATATAACTTCTATCTCACGGCTGTCTCCAAAGAGCCAAGTACATAATTACTAAACTGCTGCAAGAGCTCTTCTGATTCGCCTTCAGGTCAGAGTAAATGAAATCTCTCTTTAACCATGGAGAAGAAAATTAGTAAGAGTTGAAAGTGTTGGCATCAGAGAACAAGCTAGCATTTTGTGACTGCAAAGCCAACACAGGTATTTAAATTCTGCTCTGTTTTTTTCCACTCTGCTGTACTGCTCTAGCATCTACTAGGGAAAAGGTGATGTCTGAGTTAGTAAATATTGTAGGTAGATGGAAGCAGAGAAAAAGCAGGTTTTCTCAATTCCAAACTGTTGCAACCTTTTGAAAATTGTCAGAGTGGAATGAAGATATCCTCTCCCTCATAGTTAGAGGTAGTACAATTGTACCGGCTCTTAAAGTACATCGTGTGTCTGAAAGAACAAAAATACTTGGTGTTGGTTGTAATAGTTTATCATTCATTCCTCCAGAGCATGAATTTGAGAGATTAAAAAATAGTATTTGTATCTGTATATTTTATGATTGTCTTTTCTGTGAAATAGGTAGAATGCTTTCTGGTGAAATTCTGATTTACCTTTTGTATGTCTACAGCCATATTAACCAGAAAACTCAGTTCGAAAACCCGGTATTGGAAGCCAAAAGAAAAAAACAGCTAGGACAGACTGATGTTGGTCCTTCAAAATCAGGTATCACTGAATATCGTATTCTTTGTCACTAATATCTTTACCTGCAAGTATGCATAATTAAGTAAGCAGTTTTGGAATTCATCAAAAAATTAGCCTTGTCTTTTTGGTGACCATTGTGGTGTTGCTCTCTCAGATCTGTAAGGGTTTTTTAATTATTTTTTAATATTAAAATCTAACTGAGACCCTAAGACTGCTTTAAAATAATTTTGATTATTCTGGAGATGGTTGTCATAAGGTTGTGGAAGGTTAGAAGAGCCAGCTGGAAATGCAGGTAAAACCACACCTTGAATTGTTATGCTTTTTTATTCCCAGTAAAACTGGGAATTACAAGTGGAGCTTTATTTCCAACTCTGTTGTAAACGGTACTCCAGTGTTGAAAAAACTCTTAACTTTTCTATTCCCTTAACTGTGAAATGAGTGTAACAGTATCTGTTTGCTTTATTCCTTACCAGTGCTGCAGAGGTTAACCAGTGTTAACCAAACAAATCATTAACCTTTATGACACCTTAAAAAACAACCAAAAAACTTGACAAAACTAACCCTGGATTCCTTCCTTCTTGTCTCTTCATTCCATGATTCAAAAGGACCAGAGAAGTCTGTCTTCACTAGAGATCCATCCCAACTTATAGGAGCACTTATTCGGACATCACTGAAAAAAAGTACAATGGGATTTGGCTTTACAATCATTGGAGGGGACAGGCCTGATGAGTTTCTCCAGGTGAAGAATGTGTTAAAGGATGGACCTGCCGCCCAGGATGGGAGAATTGCACCAGGTCAAGTATTGTTTCTCTAAGCTTTCATTTCCTGTGATGCTTTTAGAGCACACAGCTTCTGAGGCACAGGATGCTGTATGACTCCACCCACTGACTCTGAATATGAGCACCTCACTAAATGAAATAGTTTCAGGTTTGTGAAAGATCTGTGCAGAGCAGTGGCTGAAAGGGAAAAGAAGGAATGCTCTAGATACAAATCCACTTTGAGGATGCTTCTGAACACTTCAGTAGTTCTGCGCTAAGACTTTCACCTTTTTGTTTGTTTACAGAATGTTTCTTTGTTCCCTCTCTATACATAAAGTAAAACCAACACGTTTGAGCCATGGTCTGTGTTTTGCTTTGTTGCTGCCAAAATACGTAACAGCGAATATTAAAATTGCAAGAAACCCGTGACAGGAATGAGCAGGCAAAGCTGTATGAGCTGGATAAGTGAGGAGATGAGGGGTGAGGGTACCCCCAGTCCATGAAGAACTGCACACTTTGCCATTGTATTGTATGTTTAATTAGATTGCCTATAAGCTTACTTTATCATACTGTTTACATACTAGAAAAGGCAAAATGCTTCTTTATATATCACAAACTCTCCTGCTTTTCAGATAAGAATAAAAAGAGTTCATGCCTTCCATGATTTAATGCTTTTTACTTATGAAATGAAACAGTCCCTTTTTTGTTGCTGAGCTGTTGTTTGAAATCGTTTGTATGCTGTTCATTTTCCTCCTCTGTAAACTGAAAACGATCCTGCAGCAGTGTGTAGTGGTGCACACAGGTGTGAGTGGAAAGCTGCCTGTCTGCTCCTGTAGTGGCTCTCACAGTAGGAGAGTTACTCTTGTGCTGATGCTCAGGTATGTAGGTGATAAGACTGTTTGCACACTGGGAGTATTGTATTGCACATGCAAAGTTTCATGATGAAAATGATGCAAATTCTGAAATGAGGTTTCAGGATTTGAAGTCAACTTCCACTGCATTTTGCAAACACATGCTCAGCCATGTGTGGCAGCAGCGTAAGCGCGCAGAGCGTGCGTGGGCGCAATCCCAGCTTAAGTTCAGCCAGTCCTAAAATAAACATAGGACCCCTCCCCCCAAAAATCCGATTTATTAATCATTTCTTAAATCTGCTGCAGATTAAACTTTATATATTTAGCACAGTGTTCTGAGATGAAATAGAACAAATGTGAAGAGGAAATCCTGTGTGCTTTTTGGTAACAGATATCCAAGAGGTGACGGCCCAGCCACCATCCCTTACTAGTTCTGAAGGCTGCACAGCGATTTCCTCCAGTTAGGCTTGTTCTCAGCCTCAGAACCACACTGGGCAGGTGGGAGTGGTTGTGGTTGTGGGTTCTTTTTGACACTTTTGAACTTTCTTTTGTAACAGGTGATGTCATTGTAGACATAAATGGAAGCTGTGTTCTTGGCCATACCCATGCAGATGTTGTCCAGATGTTTCAGCTAGTTCCTGTCAATCAGTATGTGAACATGACTTTATGTCGTGGTTATCCTCTTCCTGATGACAGTGAAGACCCTATGGTAGATATAGTGACAGCTACTCCTATTATCAACGGACCGCCTGTGACCAAAGGAGATGTTTGTGTGACCAGCCAAGATTTAATAGCAGGAACAGTTGTGTTGGATCAGAATGGCAAAATGGGCCCTATGTTGGTCAATGGTCGTCTGAATGGCCCTTCCATGGATCCAACTGACCAGAGGATCTCTCTTGCATCTTCAGGAGGCTCTCAGCCAGAGCTGGTCACCATTCCTCTAGTCAAAGGTCCCAAAGGCTTTGGGTTTGCCATTGCAGACAGCCCTACAGGACAGAAGGTGAAAATGATTTTGGACAGCCAGTGGTGCCAAGGCCTTCAGAAAGGGGATGTAATCAAGGAGATTTGCCATCAGAATGTACAGGGCTTGACACATCTGCAGGTGGTGGAAGTACTGAAGCAGTTTCCAGTAGGAGCAGAGGTGCCGCTGCTTATCTTAAGAGGAGGTACATAAGTAAATTCACTGTTGTCGTATATGGTCATACATTTTTTTAAAGTCCCTTTTTAATGTGATGTCTACATTGCATGCAGTCTTGACAGTTAAGTAGCAGCTTATTACGTCTCTGAGCTGTTATGTTCTAAGTTTAATTTATAACCCTCAGTACTTGGGTGAGAACATGTTGCTAGGGGTTTGATTTTTTTCAAAAATTTTATTATGATATGTTTGTGCACTGTGTCTTCCAAGTGTCTGGGGAGTGATAAAGCAGAAATGCAGTCTCCAGCATTAACACGGAGAGTATGATGGGCAGAGTTTTCTGAGGCTCTCCAAATGTATTCCAGTAACTGTAGCTGTAATGGACAGGTGATTACAGGAGATGAGAGGAAGCATCAGCAGTGGGGTGGAGCTGATTACTAGAAATACCACAAAAAGTCTCATTTTTGCATTTGCATACGTTTATACCTCCTCATTGACTGTCAGAGACAGAGCAGAATGTGTCTTCTCCCCACAGGCTGACTCTTGGGTAGTGTGTGTTTGCCAGAAGCTGAATGAATTATGAAGCAACGTATGGGTGCCTAGTGTCACCTTAAGCTTTTATTGTAGCCCTGAGAGTGTCACTTGAAACAGTTATGGGCATTTGCAGAAATCTCTAGGTCTTTTTCTATGTAAATGCCACTATTCCTTAATCAGCTAAGGAAATAATTAGATGTCTTTGGTAGCAAGTGAAATTGCTCTAGACAATTTCACAAAGTCTCTGTATCCCATGACCTGACATGTGATTTTGTTGATCAGTGTCTAGAAAAAAGAGAAGTAGTTGGTTTTCAATGTTGTACAACTCACAATTCTAATTTGAGACTTCTCTGAAGCGATGTTTTTGATCAGCTTGAACATTCACTTTGCCATTTTAAAGATAAGCAAATTAGCAGTTACTGTTTTGAACGCAAGAGGAGCTGATTATATTGCCTTAATGCTGTTCAAACTTTGAGTGACCTAGTACTGAAATTGCTTTCTACGTTGTTTTTCCTTCAGGTCCACCATCACCTACTAAAACTGCCAAAGGGGTGAGTATTAGTGATGTATTTAAATGGGCTTTTGCTGGAGAATATTCAAGGGGTTTGAGTTGAAAAACAGACTGTAAATACAGTCTACTTAATCTGAAAGATTCCTTTGAGTATTTTGTGTTGTTTAATGGAGGGAGGTGATGGATGTCTCTCTTCTTACTAGTGAAGAATCAAGAACGCAGCAGAGATCTTGTGTGACTATAGGTGCAGTGTTGTTGATTTGTCATGATTTTAAGTATGCTTAAGTTCTATCATTATTTCCCTTTTTTGTGCTGTAGTTGAAGTTGCTGTGTGCATGCTTTGACATGCTTTTGTAGTGTCATCCCTTCTGGATTTTAGTCCCTCTGGATTTTTCCCTTGCTGTTTGAGCACTGAAGTCCTATCTCAGGAGTGGGATAATGTGAATACACAAGTTCAGTGTGCTTGAAACAGACTGTGCTGAGCAGGATTTGCAGATTCTGCTCCTTGCCAGTGCAGAGCTGCCCTCACTGAACAGATCTCCATAACTCTGCAGTCTGAAGACACTTGTCAGCGTGGCTCCTGTCACTGCACTCTGTGCTAAAAATACTCGGGCTCGGGGACCGGCGTTCCAGCACACGTGCAGTAGCAACTTCCCATGGAGCACTTGATGCTCAGTGGCATTAAGCAGCATGGCAAAGTGATTCAGTTAAAAAGGGCAAATTCTTGTGTTTGTAAACATATAAGAAGTGTCAAACTGCTAAATCGCTTGGGGGGTTTTCTTCTGCCTTTTGTAAAAGGGCATATCTAAGTCTGTTCTGCTTGTGCTTTTTTTTAACATGTACAGACACATGCAAACTACCATGTTCTAGTTTTCCATTCTGGGTTTCAGCCCAAAATAAGTGTTTAGAGATATTTCAGTGCATAATTGGTTGGAAATTAGGGTGGAAGACCACACGGATGTTTGGTCTCCTTCCTTCATGAAATACTAATAAGACTGTTGCAGCTATCAGATCACTAAAACAAAAACAAAAACAAACCCAAAAAATTAAAAAAAAAAAAAAAACCAAACAAAAAAAACAAACCACAAATACTGAATTACTAATGCCTCACAGCACCCAAGTGTTTAGAGTGCAACCTGATGTTGAGAGCACAGGTACTCAGATTCAGTTATGCTTGTGATTTAACATGGAGTTTGTGGGGTGGCATCTGTTTCAGAAGGACAAGCAGGGCAGTTCAGGGAGTTTGGAAGCTGTCGGTGATTCCATCCCACAGCCAATGCCCTTTCCACCCACTGCTCTACGACCAGGCTCTCCTAAGCTAGACCCTTCAGAGGTCTACCTGAAGTCGAAGAGTATGTATGAGGACAAACGTGAGTATATCAACTTCAGCTTGGAAATATTAGATTATCATTCATTTTTGCTTTGTCATATGTGTAGTTACCAAAGGTAGCTCCTTACATGTTTTGAAATGTTGCTTTGTCTTAGCTCCAAACACACGAGATCTGGATGTTTTCCTACGGAAACAGGAGTCAGGCTTTGGTTTCCGTGTGCTTGGAGGGGATGGACCAGATCAGCCCGTAAGTGAAACCTTTTTCTCTGGGGAGAAGTGATGAGGTTTTTACGGTGTGTCAGGGCTGCTCCTTTAGCTGTCCAGTCAAGAGGAAAAGCTTTTGGAGTAGATACTTGTAGATTGTTTTCTGATGACAGTTAACGAATACAGTTTTTTCCATTCATAGCTGTGATCCAGTGCTAGCCTATTTTTTTTTCTTCCTGAACATGTATTTAAAGAAAAGGAAGAGCAAACGAGAGTTTTACTTCTCTTGCACTTTATAGCATTTGTGCTGTTTTGTTTCCATAACAGCCAGAGCTGTTGGTAAGTGCTGAGCTAATATCATGAACACTGTGTGCAGATGATTGGCCCACTATTGCTTAACCTCCAAAAACTGCCGGCCATAATTAATCTTAATCTTTCATTTAAATTGAATGTTAAGGATAATAAAGTTTTGGGGGAATTTTAATCCTTAAGTATTTGCTGCATGCTTTGAGCCCCCAGGTTGTATCCACTGTGTCAGCTTGTGTGAATTACACTCACTGGCTGTGTTTTTGCTAGAATTGGACACCCAGATCATCTTTAAAAATATCTTCCCAAAAGCCCTCATCTGTCTGGATTCACCTGGATTCCAACCATTACATGTTCTGATGAGGTCATGTTCTGCTGTTCAAACCCCCTGACTCTGCTCTGCTGGTAGATTTACATTGGAGCCATAATTCCGTTGGGAGCAGCAGAAAGAGACGGCCGGCTTCGGGCTGCAGATGAGCTGATGTGCATCGATGGGATCCCTGTTAAGGGGAAGTCTCACAAGCAAGTTCTGGACCTGATGACCAGTGCTGCACGGAACGGTCAGGTGCTGCTCACGGTCCGGAGGAAGATCTTCTTTGGTGGTATGTGTCTGTCTGCCCGGAGGGGGTACTGCAGGACAGACCTGGCTGAAGGAACACTTACATTTTTGTAATCCAACTCGCTAAAGCTGCTCTGAAACTTGTCAATTTTTGCACTAGAGCAAAGCAGCCTGCAACACAGGAGGGTCAGCTGTAATTCAGAGTAAGTGGAGAAGAGCAGAGTTCAGTAAGCTGATGCTTTGGTGCTTGCTAGTTTGCACAGATAGGGTTCTGAATATTATGATGGCAGTGGTGTTTTCTTCAAACCTTTTTGCAGATATTAATTAGAACAGCTACTAATGTTATGCAAATTGAGTAATAGCCCAGACACTTTTCTGTACAACATGCTGTATTCTTACGTCTTTTGACATCTACCTGTAGCAACAATAAGAGCATTCAAACAAGAATTGATTCAGGGCAGCACCTTGTGATTCTGCAGTTTGAGATCAGTGTCTAGGCACTCATTGTGCTTGACTCAGTGATGCTGATCATGTCAGTGTCAGAGCTGGGATGGGGTTCAAGGGATCTGATAACAGTCCCCTGTCCCAGTTAGCAACCAGTATTGCTTTTCCATTGCACTGCTCAGCCATTAATTCTGAGTATATACAAGTAAAAGGAAAAAGTATTTTTAAGATCAATTCTTAATTTCTTTAAGATGCCTTCTGATTGATAGACTACTTTGGGACCAAAATTTTATACATTTCCTAAAACAAAGTCTGGCTTCAGTCTTCAAATGCCATTTTCAAAAATGTTTCCATGGTTCTAAGTAAACAGTTGTTCCTCACTTAAGACAGCCATAGTTGCAGTTTGTAGCTGGATAACTGCTGTAGATCTTGTACTTGTAGCATTCAGAAAAGCCACAATGGTTTTTTTACTATAAAAAGGCATCAGATGACTCTGACAGAGTCTCCGTACACAGTGCTGGGTCCGCTGGGCTGTGTGCAGACAGCATGTAGCAGGATTTCTTTGCACAACTGTGCACACCTGGGGAGGACTCTGAGCCTTTGAATGCTTTATCCTGCATTCACTTTCTGTCTGATCCAAACTGTATTGTTAATAAGCTCATCCCTTACTTTCCGAGGCCCCTTACTTTCCTCATGTTGGCACTGATAGGGAGATGTACAGTTCTGTAGTTGCTTGGTGAAACAGCAGTATCATTTTTTCCTTATTTGTTGTTTGTCTGTTACCTGCAAGGGGAAAAGCAATCAGAGGAGGAGGAGTTGCAGCCTGTCTTGACACAAAACGGCTCTCCCCGACTGAATCGGGTAGAGTTTGCAAACCAGCAGTCCCCAGAGGTCTATGATGTCCGTCTGCAGCGGAAGGAGAACGAAGGATTTGGCTTTGTCATCCTCACCTCGAAGAACAAACCTCCCCCAGGTGGTAAGTGCTGTGTCCTGGCAGCGTGGTCCCTGCCAGCCTCGCTGTGTGGAGCTGGTGCCAGAGCTGCCGCCGCGTTGGCAGGGCCGTGCCTCTTCAGGGCCTCCTCTGCCCTTGATGTGCTGGTGTTACCTGCACCACTCTGCGCAGATACAGTTGTCTCACACTGATTCACAGCCCAAACAGCGGAGGCGTGGTCTGTCATCCTTCATGTTTATGCTCTTTTTCACCCAGCCATGACATAAAGAGGGAGCAGGGGGAAAGTGTGTCACACACAAGCAAACCGTACACAGGAGTGTGCACTCGCACGGGGCAGTCTTCAGGACATGCAGGGGTCAGGCTGTGGTGGTGATATAGATTCTCATACTGCACTAATTCATAGGCATTTTAATGGACGTGTAGTTTCAACCTCAGCTTTGCATTGCTTAATCAGGTAGTATTTCTTCTCTGGGGATCTGAGAAAATAGAGACTGCAGTACTTGGAGAAAAGAGTGAAGTTGTTACTGTCAGACAGAGAGGGTGTTTGTCTAGAACGATCATCAAAATGAAGTAGTTTGCTCTGGTGTTACAGTTCTGATATATGGACATGGCCTCAGGCGTAGCTGTAGAGATTAAACATCAAAATAACCAAGTTCAAAAGTAAAATATAAAAAGAAACAGTGTGAGCAGAACTGAAAGGGAGAAGCTGCTTATAGGAAGCTGTGGAGTCCGGCTCAGGTAATGGAAAGATCCCTGACCCCTGCACAGGAGCAGGTCTGCTCAGGGTCATCAGGCGCCTTTGTGTTCCTTGTGCTCACCCAGCACTGCCAGGGAGAGACTACTGAATGTTTTTTTGCATGAGGTGGTGAGTAGGATCATCGTTCTGAGTTTCGTTCCCTTTGGCCATCAGGTTTGCATTATCTGTGGCAGCCCTTGAAACGCAAGCCAGCTCAGTGTGTTCACCCACAAACAAACTCAATTCACTGACGTTAAGATGACACTAACTCCTGAAATCCTTGCTTGGTTCCTTTAGTTCCTTAGTGTAAATCACCCTTCTGAAACCTCAGCTGGTTCCAGACAGACATAATGATGGCTTGAAAGTGTGTCTCTCTTTACTGCACCTCAGACACTTCTGTTTTTCCACTTCATTTTACTGCACAATAAAAAAACAGCAGGAGCACAGAAAAAAAAACCTTGTTTCTCAATAACATTGTGCTGAATTCATATCCTTAGCTGGTGATGCAGCCTTGGCTCAGATGGTGCCTTTTCAGGAACGCTGACGCCGGCTGCCCGGGGAGCGCTGGGGAGCTCAGCGCGGCAGCAGGACGAGGGGTGGTGCTCCCCTGTCTGGTCAGGCAGATGCTAAGGAAAAATATTATAAACGGAACTATTCTATAATATAATTGTATTCTGTTATAATGTAACTATTACAGATAACAGCTTTATCTGAGGATCTGCTGCAAACCCCTGTTTATCTGATATTAGACTGAAAGTAGAAGACAACTGAAAGCAATTCCAGGGCTGGAAACATTAGCCCTGTGGTCAAGGCTGTTTCTGACACACAAGAAAAAAGAGACTCTGGTGCATCCACAGTTTAGACAAAGCTCCTGTGTTCTTCTAAAGCCGGGATATTTTAAAACAAGTAATCAGCAATTGAGTCTGCAACCCTACAGTGCTTCACTCTTCACAGTTGGCTCTTAGGTTTATATAATACTTAAAAAAACCCAGTCTACTAAGGGAAGTGTAATTAAAATTTGAACTCATGGTAAATGCTAGAAGGCATCAGTGTCTGTTCTTTTGCAGTAACTTCTGCATGTGCTAGCTCATTAAAACAATCCTTGATGGCTTTTTAATATTGGGTGGCTGATGACACTGTGAAAGTGTTTCAGATTTATGTCATGGTTTTGAAACGCCAGCTGATAATCCTGACAGGCACGTAGTGTTCCCTACCCCTCCAATCCCTCAGAGAAAAGCATGTTTGGGAGAGCAGCAACTACAGAGAACAGTTATCCATCAAACCTACTTCAGGCTTTGGAGATGTAAACAGGCTTCTACCTGAAGTACCATTTATGAAGCATGTGGAGGTCAGTCTGGAGAGGTGTTTGGAAATGAGTTACAAAGGAGCGGTGCAGCGGTTCCTGTGCAGAGGAGCCCTGAGGAGGGATTTGGGAAGGACAGGAGCCAATTTTCTATGCTTTCAGGCATCCAGCTGAGTGAAAGGCTGGTTTAGACGCATGGGAACGCACGCTGACTGATGTGCTTGGATGTAACACGAATCTGCTCTGTCGGGACCACGTCAGCACGCAGGCAGCTCAGCGAGCCGCTCTCGCCCCAGGTTTTGGTAGGCTCCTCCCGTTGCAGTGGCATCTCCCTGGCTGTGGAGTGCCATCTGCAGTGCTGACGTTCGGGTCAGAAAGCCACAGAACGAGATCTCTCCCTGAGCAGCAGCCCAGCTCGTGGTGGGAGGTGCAGGAGCCGTGGGGCCGTGGCACTGCTGTCCCGTGGGAGAGGCGCCGGGCTGGAATGGAGCATCCCTCCCTCCCTGGGACTTGTTCATTCTGCTCCTTCCTGCATTGGTGTCTGCCTCCAGGAAAGTAACTAAAAGCGATCTTTTTCCCTCCTACTTCTTGTAAAATTCTCTTTTCCCTATTCTCTCTTTCCTGGCCCTGTTGCTTTGGCCTCCAGAGGGGTCTGTGTACAGACCAGTGTCACTGTGGAGTGGAATGGGGAAACCAAGCCAGGAGAGCAAGCTGAAATTAAAATGATTATTAGAGGTGCAGGTTAATCTTGGAGAGCAGGAGTAGGGAAGGGGTCTGTGCTGAGTGATTTCACCTTGCTGTGCTGCTGGGGTGTGCTGAGTGCTGCTGCCAAGGTGCTCACCACGTTACTGAGTCAGGCTCCAGCAGCAGAGGATTGATTTCCTTTTGAAGTGTATTCAAGGCTTAATTTTTGGTTGCAAGGAGGAAGAGTTAACTCGTGCATCCAGATTTGTGTGACTGTGTTAAACTGGTTGTCCATAACTGTCTCTTGAGTTCACACAGTGCTCCAGGGCTGTTTGTGAAGTGGAAAACCATACAAGTGGCAAAACTGCTTCAAAGTGCTTCTGGGACACAGGGTCCTACCTGTCCCTTTGTAGGTGTGACCCGTTGCCTTCCAGTGTTTTCCATTGGGCACGAGGCCCTGTGTGTGACAAGGCTGTGCTGTCAAGGGTTTATGTTTCCATTCACTCTATCAAATGAATTATTCTTCACTATTTGCAGGTTTTTCTTGTCCTAGTAGTGCTGCCCTTTCAAGCAAGTGGGGTCTCTAGGATGACTGTGGCAACTCTGGGTCTGGGTGATGCTTATCTGATGTGAATACTAATTGTGTTATGCCTGTCCTTGATCTCCTAGTGATTCCTCACAAGATTGGGCGAGTTATAGATGGGAGCCCAGCTGACCAGTGCGGGAAGCTGAAAGTGGGAGACCGCATCTCGGCAGTGAACGGGCAATCCATCATTGAGCTCTCACACGACAGCATAGTGCAGCTGATCAAGGATGCAGGCAACGTGGTCACTCTGACTGTCGTGGCTGAGGAAGGTAAGGAGGGTGCATGGGCCCAGGGGGTGGAGGAGCCCTACCACACTGCCAGAGTCTGATACTTGTAACTTCTAAAGTTAATTCATTTGAAGTGGAGTATTTTAAGATGTTTGGAAACCAAAGAAAAGAGAGTGAAGCTCATCCATTTGCTCTGGAAGAGATGAAGGCAGATGAGGCAGAGACAGACAGCTGCCAAGGTGGCTTATTTTTCACTGAAAAATAAGATACAAGTGTTAATGAGATGGTGCAGGGTAGGAGAAATTATTATGGTTTCTTACATGAGAGAGAGAGAGAATGAGACTGCTGCTGACATGGAAACATGTCCTATCCAGACCTTGTGTTCTTCAGGCAAAGAGATCTTTCCTGGGGGAGAAGAATCTTCTTGCCCCTGGGCAGTGCCCATCTCTTGCTGCTGCGGCCGCCAGCAGCAGCTTTGTCCCAGGTGCTCCCGGCATGCTCGAGCGGCGGCGCCAGGCAGAGCTGCAGGGACACTGCTCACCAGAGCCTCTCCATTTAGGCACTCCTGAGCCTTTCCTGGCGTGTTAAAACACACAGATTGCCTAATGCTGCTTCCCTGGGACAGAGCAGGAACACCCTGTGGTTCTGCCTGCCAAAGGCACCTTTGGGAAGTGGTGACATCTCACTGTGACAGCCTCGGTCGGGGATTTCCTGCAGAGCCTCCCAGGCTGCTGGGAAGTCCTGCCCACGCAGCCGCCCTGCCAGCTGAGCAGCAGAGAGAGGCTGTGTGGCTGCACAGCCCCGTCTTTGGAGACTGTAGCTGTCGAGAGAGCTCCCAGGCAACACTGCATTCCATACAGTATTGCTTCTGCACAAACGGTTCACTATAAATATGTAAAGTCCAGTCGTTTAAGAGAAGAGCTGTTTTCCAGCCATGCTTACCACTGCATTTTTCTGGATTGCTGCTTGTGGTTTTAATTAAACTCGCTATCATTATTTTGCCAGAAAACTGGCTTTCTTCACCTTGTAAATAATAAATACCTAAAGCCAGAATGTGAATAAATCCAACAGATGATTCTCTAATTTCACATTCATTGCAAATATTTAACATGCTATCTCAGCCTGTAATACAGAATTTCAAATACTAAATTTTCCTTTTACTTGAAACAGAGACTCCTATAAATTGTTATTTTTCTATTAAGATTTTTGTTTTTATCAAATCTAATTCGTTCCAGTTTGAAGGGACATACCTCAAAGCAGTTGCCCAGAGCAATGTTTGGGGCTCTTAATCGGCTTTGTTTTCAGAATAACCTTTTTGAATATAACAGTTTTGTCCCTTATTTATGCATGGCCTTAACTTGGATACTGTGTAGGAGCTTTTCCCACTTCCTCAGAGATTTGGAGCCAAATTGTACAATAAAACAAGAAGCTGAGGAGAATCAACAATGAGAGGAAAAAAGTTAGTGGCATAAAACTAGACTGAAGAGACCAGTCAGAAAATTGTGTGGCCTAGAGGAGCTGGAGTTGGCGTGTTTCAGGTATAAACAATTTTGTGACAGCGAAGGAGAGCGAAGCAGAACTTGTTCCAACAAAATGGAAATATATCACAACTTTAAAAATCTCCTTGGTTTAGATAGAGACATACAGTTTAGCTCACAGTGTAACCCTCTGTGCAGCAGAGTCCCGTAGGAAGCCAGTGTGGAGGTGAATTAGCCACAGGGCTTCGGGCGTTTGCCCAGCTGGGTTGCAGGGAGAGAGCTGAGCTTCACGGAGATGGTTCCCACCGAGGAAGAGGCAGGATGCTGCTCTAGAGATAAGAATGCCCCTATTGGCAGAGGCTCTTTGGCATCACAAAGCAGAAAGCCTCACAGAGTTTGCTCTCCCCCAGTGCATCACCTTCAGCGCTGTGCTCTGAGACTGGCGAGGAGAACCTGTGCCCTCCCCGCTCCTCCTGCCGCTCACACGCGTGATCTTCACGTGTCATACGAATAAATGAATCCCCCTTCCCGTGCCAGAAGATGTTCTTTAGCATTTTTCACAAAAGCAGCAGCCTGTCAGCTTTTGTCATGTATGAGCTGGAAGCAGAAGGGAGCAGGCTGAAAGAGGACTGGAGAATTTGTACAAACAGATGGCATTTTTCTTGCCTGTGCTTCTAAATTAAAACTTGAGTATAAACCAGGAGTAAAAGTTGACATTTTGTCTCTAGAGAAAAACTTCTTTAAGGTGCATCATAGCAGTAGCACCAGGCAGTCCTGAGAAGGGCTCGGGAGGTCTCACTTACCTGAGAAATTCAGTCCAGTCATACGTATTGTTTTCCTTCCCTTAAGATGCTTGAGCATTTTGTATGTTTTACTGAGGTTTGTTTGTTCTCTGCTGAGAAATGCAGTAATGCAATGCACCTAACAGAGGACTGGAGCATCTCCAGTTTGGGTGCTTGGGTTATTTTTTTTAACCCTTATAAGGAGAAGGAGTTCCTTAGTTTATAATTTAGCACAGAAGTTGATCTTGGGCCACTACTTGCCATTTCAGTCTCTACCTAAGAGGCAGCTTTTTGCATAGGCTGTGGTTCATCACTCTTAAGTGACAGAGACATTCTGTGTCCTGAAACATGTACTTTTCATATGTGCACTGGGTTTATTTTAAAATGTATGATCACTGGTTTTTTTGTGAAAGGGAAAATAATCTTAAACTATTTTAAAATATTTTAGTAAAATGCCATTATACTTCAATTTCTATTTAGTCTTTGAGAGAGGGCAAAAGACTTTAAAATTCCCTTTGCTAACCTGTCAGAGAACTAGTCCTTCCAGTGTGGCTGTAGGACAAGTCAAGTCCATAACCTTCATAACTTTCCACTGCGCCTTGAACAAGTTGACAGTTTCCCTCCATTGCTGGGTCTTTACCTCTGGGACCTCACTGCCCCTGCATATCCTCATCCCCTTATCCTTAAAGAGGGTTATGTTCTCAAATGTACATGATTCTTCATCTCTTAAAAAATTTATGATCTTGAATATCCAAACCAGGTTCATCAATCTGACTATCCCTAATCCTTTCTGGTCTTTATCAGCTTGCAGTCTAAAACCCTTCTTTCATGTCTGCTTCAGTTAAAATTTGGTGGTTTTCTGGGGAAAAGACGTGTAGGTAAGAATAAAATTCCCAGGAGCTTATTCCATGAAAGCAGTGAACTGCACTTGGGTTCCTGGTTTATGGTGTTAGGCCTCGGAAAATCCTCTCCACCCTGTGACTGTGGTGGGCAGGAGCAGCAGCCACAGTGCTGATGAGTGTGCCTGGCTTTATATTTGGGAAGTTCTCTCTGACTGTCAGTTTTGTCTCAATTTATTAGACCACCGAGGTCCTCCGTCGGGGACGAACTCCGCCCGGCAGAGTCCGGCTCCGCAGCACCGGCCGCTGGGGTCGGCACCGATCCCCCCGCCCGGCACCGACAGGTACCGAGCGGCTGG